GTTGTTAGTCGCGTCGAAATTTAGCCGAAAGGATTGTTCGAGGATTTCACCCTCTGGTGATGCTAGGCGGATTCCGACGCTAGAACCTTGTTTTGAGGATGAGCCGTCGACGTGGAGGATCCAAACAGCGTTGGGTGACTCCTCGCGGGCGTTCTCTATTGGCAGCTCGATGATAAAATCGGCCAGGACTTGAGATTTCGCGCATGTTTTGTTCCTGTATTCGATGTCATACTCGCTGAGTTCTACTGCCCACTTGGCCAGGCGTCCCGATTAGCTCGGACTGTGCAGGATGGTTCGGAGTGATACGGGCGCCATGACGACAATTGAGTGAGACTGGAAATATGGCCGTAGTTTCCGAGCTGACATTACTACGGCGAGGGCGAGCTTTTCCGTTTGCGGGAAGCGTGTTTCCGCGTCGGTGAAAGTTTGCGAGACATAAAATATCGGCTTCTGCTCTCCTCTGTCTTCCCTGACTATGACTCCACTTATCGCCAACACCGGTGGATTAGCCAAATACTTCTTCAGTTCCTGAAAAGCTTCTTCGCATCGATCGGTCCATTCGAATTTCTTGTTCCCGCACAGAGTATCGTAGAAAGCCAGGCATTTGTCAGTGGACCGCGAGATGAATCGGTTCAAGGCTGCGACTCTCCCGGTGAGACGTTGGACTTCGCGCTTGTTCTGTGGTGAGGGCATGTTCAGTAGAGCATCGATTTGCTTCGGGTTTGCCTCGATGCCTCGGTGAGTTACGAGATATCCTAAGAATTCTCCCGACTTTACCGCGAAACGACATTTTGTCGGGTTGAGCTTCATGTTGTGCTTGTTGAGCTAGCGAAAACAGTCGCGTAGATGGGCTATGTGATCGCTTTCTTCAAGGGATTTGACTAACATGTCGTCGATATAAACTTCCATCGTCTTCCCGAGCTGCTCGGAGAACATCCTGTTGACGAGCCGTTGATACGTTGCGCCAGCATTCTTGAGTCCGAAGGGCATGACTTTGTAACAGTAGATACCTCGGTCTGTGATGAATGCTGTCTTCTCGCGATCGTCGGGGTGCATGAGAATCTGATTGTATCCTGCGAAAGCATCCATGAATGATAGCAACTTATTTCCCGCGGTTGCTTCCACTAAGCGATCGATATGTGGGAGTGGAAAACAAGCTTTGTTCAGATCGGTGAAATCGACGCAGACTCTCCACTTGCCGTTCTTCTTTTTAACCACGACAGGATTTGCTAACTAGTCTGGATATCTTGCTTCGGAGATTGAACCGATCTTCAGGAGCTTTTCTACTTCGGCGTTCACGGAATCTGCGCGATCACGACCCAATTTTCTTCGCTTCTGCTTGATGGGCTTGAAAGATGGGTCAACATTCAGCTCGTAGCAGATTACGTCGATGCTTACCCCAGGTAGATCTTCAGCCGACCAGGCGAAGGTGTTGATGTTCTCTTTGAGGAATGAGATGAGCTCGGTCTTGATTTCCTCGGTTAAGTCGCTAACAATTTCCACGCATCGTTCAGGCCGTTCGTCGTCGAGGCTAATGGAGATTACAGGATCCGAGGTAGGCTTCTTCTCCTTGCGCGCCTCCTCGATCTGTAATTGCTATAACTGTTTAGATATAGCCTTCTCTTCACTCCGGCCAAGTTTTGATTTCTTGTGATCGGTTTCAGCCTTCGCTTCAGTGACAGGGTTTCGAAGTTTGTGTACTGCCATGAAACACATCCGAGAATTTTTCTGACTGCCCCAGATCGTTTTCACGCCATTGGGGGTCGGGAATTTGACACACAGATGATATGTTGATGCGACAGCTCGCATTAGATTTAACCACAGAGTTCCCATTATGACGTTGTAGATGGTAGGTTGATCGGTGACTGAGAAGTTGACTATCTTTGTTACCCCGCCGGCTCGGACTGGTAGTTGGATGGTTCCAAGCGTCATCAAAGTTTCCCCTGAAAATCCGAGGACAGGCCTCGGGGTCGGAATTACCTGTGACATGTCGATGTTCATTTTTCGGAGTGTTTCGCAAAAGATTACGTCGATGGTGCTGCCGGTGTCAATTAATACTCGGTAAATATCATGGTCTCCTATCGCTAACGTGACGACGATTGGATCATTATGAGGCATGTCGAGCCCGTTTGTCTCGCTTTCTTTGAATGTGATCACATCGCTAGGTCGATCGAAGCGTCTTGTCCAGTTGCTAGGCGTCTCGGCTCGGCGTTGATAAGCTTTGATTGCCGCTACGGTGTCATGACAGTATGGCGATCCACCCATTATGGTGAGAACCTTCTGCCGCGTACCATCTCGGTCTTCGTCTTCCGTCCCCCGGGTTCTTTTCTGAGACTCCTGGTTCCTTGGTTCGGGGTCTCTTCCCGGGTTGGTCTGCTCGGGCTCTGGCTCTGGCTCGAGATCCTTAAGAGTGACGTTCGTCCCGAGCTCTCCAGCTAGGAATTTGGTTTCTAACTTAGCTCCGAGGCTTCGGCATCTCGAGGTATGGTGGCCGAAAATTTTGTGGTGTTCGCAATATTCTTGATCATTGCTCGGTGGCTGATCCCTTGTCCAAGTGAAGGACTCTCTTCCTCGCCCACGGCCTCGGCCTCTACCGTGGCCACGGCCTCGGGGCGTGTCAATCTGGTAGCTATGGTATCCCGAGAAATTGTGCCCTTCGTGATGCGTATACGCACCGCTCTCACGTGTCTTCTTCTGGACCGGAGGTGTCGCTTGGGCTTTCTCGGTTTTCTCGGCTCGGGGCGCCTGTTTCGTTGGCTCATGCCTCTTTGCTAGCAGCGCCATCTCTTCTTCGTGGGCGACGAAATCCGAGGCTCGATGCAGCGCGTCGCGAATTGTTGTTGGTTTAGACAGGTTCAACTCTTTCCTGAATTCTGATTTGTACCAGAGAGCTTTCTTTAAAGCCGAAAGAGCGGCTACATCTGTAATTCCTTCGACCTTGGCTAGCGTCGATTTGAAGGTTGTGAGGAAATCTCTTAACGGCTCGGTGGACTGTTGAGACAGGGACCACAGATCCGCGTCAGAGGTTCCGGGGTCGATGAGCACGGAGTATTGCTTGAGGAACAGTGTCGACAGCTCGTCGAAACTGTCAATCGAGTTTCGTTCCAATCTTGAAAACCACTCTAATGCGGGTCCTTTGAGGTGTTCCACGAACAGTAAGCATAGACCTGCATCCTTTTCCCCGGGCTTGAACCTGGCTCGGGCTACGGATATCACGAAAGATTTAATGTGACACTTCGGGTCGGTTGATCCGTTGTAGGAGTCGATTTTGAACTTCCCCAGATTGGACATCGTCGTTTCGGAAATTCTTTTGGTGAAGGGCGTATTCCGAGATTCTTCTAGAATTCGGTCGATGTTTGGTGCAGAGGATGAAACGCTATGTATCTGGGTTTTGACGAGCTTCATATCAGCTTCCGCCTTGGCTAGGGAGGCTCGGATCTTGCTTAGATCGTCTTCTCTTTCGGATTCTTCGGCCCACCTTATGTTTTCCTCAGTTTCTTCGTCATCAGTAAGGTCCGTTCGCTCGGCGGAGTTAGCTCCGGCTCGGGTGCGCTCGTCTTGCAAATCATCTGGCTCGTCCGTCATGTCCACTGCGTCTGGCTCGGTGGGATCATCTTGGTTCTCGCGTCTGGCAGGGTCGGCTCGGGTTGCGACTCTGGTGTTGTCGGTTGGTGTCGCGAACGTGAGTCTTGTTGGGTTGATGCCAGGCAAGTCCCTCTGAGCACGTGGCGGCCGAGTCTGGAAACGCGTGGTTTTTTGTTGCCCACGTGTTGCGATTTCGTCGACTCGCTGCGCCAAGGTTTTGTTAGCTTTCTCTTGGTCGTCAGCTTTCTTCTGGAATTTAACCATCAGGTCTTTCAGTTCGGCTAGAGTCGCTATGATCGTCGGATCGGCTTGAGGATTCTGAGGGTTCGGAGGGTTCGGGATCCCTCCTCCAGCTGGTGGTGTCTGACGACCGTCTTCGTTCATCGTCCTTTTCGGTAACCGAATTCTGCGTCTTAGGGTAAGAGAATTCTAAAGTATCCCCACAGACGGCGCCAAACTGTGGAAGGCGAAACTAACACAATCGAGATTTGTCTAGGGTTTTAATTTAGGGATACGATTTGCGAGAATTCTCAAAGAACGACAGAATCAATTGATACCAAAGATAGTGTTCTCGATATTATTAAGAAAAAGATGACTTTGATCGTACAAGAGTTTGATCGTAAAAGAAAAAGATGTTTGTGCTGTGAGAGCTTTGCGTAGTGTAAATTCTAGAGCGATCCTGCCTCCTTTCTGCGAGAGCCTTGAATCTCTTTATATAGGGGTGATAAACCCCCTCTCCAGCGATATTCTCGGAAGATTTCCATTTATCTTGAAGTCGGCTCAGAATATCGCGGATTAGGATAGTTTCCTTATTTTTCGGGGGTTTTCGGAAGGTTTCCTGATTTGAGTTGATCTTTCGAGATTCTCCCCTATCATTTCCGGGTCTATCGGAAATGATCCTTCGGAAATGACGCCTTGTTTGGAAATGATACTTTGAAGATGAATATTTACCAAGTCTTTGCCTCGGGTGATGATGAAGACTTCACCTCGGAGAACTTGTGCAATCGGCTCGGGTATACAGGAGAGACTAGCTCGGGTACCCCGAGCTGTCTTGTTCGAGTACCCCGAGGCGATGGGCTCGGGCACTCCGAGGCGATTGGGCTCGGGTATCCCTAATGTCGTGTCCGGGTACCCCCGAGGCGATGGGCTCGGGCACTCCGAGGCGATTGGGCTCGGGTATCCCCAATGTCGTGTCCGGGTACCCCCGAGGTGATGGGCTCGGATACTCCGAGGCGATTGGCTCGGGTATCCCCAATGTCGTGTCCGGGTACCCCCGAGGCGATGGGCTCGGATACCCTAGGCTGATTAGGTGGATAACCCGGGGTGGATGATGCGATATCCCGAGGTGATCTCTGTAAAACTCCCGAGGTGTTCTAAGTCTGGCTCGGCGCCAAATGATGGAATCCGACCCCAACAACCACTAATGGTTCATAGGGATATCAAAACTACAAATATATTGTTGAATGAACACTTACAGGCCAAACTTGCTGATTTTGGACTTTCGAGGTCATTTCCAATTGAAGGCGAGACTCATGTATCAACAGTTGTTGCTGGAACAATTGGATACCTTGATCCCGAGTAAGTATATATCACCACTTAATTACTACAATGTATTTAGCATATCTTCTTTTTATTTCCGTAGTGTTCATGTTAAGTAACATCGTTGAACCGTCCTACAGATATTACCGAACAAATTGGTTGACAGAAAAGAGTGACGTCTACAGTTTTGGTATTGTAATATTGGAGATAATTACAAACAAACCAGTGATTGACCAAAACCGTGAAAAGCGACACATAGCAGAATGGGTAGGACAAATGCTTACAAAAGGAGACATCAAAAGCATTACGGATCCAAGTCTCCATGGAGATTATGACTCTAGTTCAGTTTGGAAAGCTGTCGAATTGGCAATGTCGTGTCTGAATCCTTCTTCGATAAATAGACCGACAATGACTCAAGTTGTTTCTGAACTAAACGAGTGTTTAGCATCAGAAAATTTGAGGGGAGGACAGAGTCAAGAGATGGATTCACAGAGTTCCATAGAAGTGAGTATGACATTTGAACCTGAAGCAAATCCTGCAGCTCGATAGAGATCATGAGAACTTCTCCTGTTGTATCGTGTATTTTTGTATTCCCATTTATATTTTTCAAAACTATCTGAAATATTTTTTTGTATCTCCAATAACATTATTGACTTTGTTTGAGAACTATGAACTTTTGTGATTGATAATTATGAAAAGAAGTTCTAAGTATATTTATCTCCATTTTCCATTTATTTCCAACCAAAGAACAACATTGCTGCACGAGAAGCTTAAAACATTTTACCTAAGAAGGTCAACGTTACTTGGAGAAGCGAGTTGACTTACTCGATGGCCTGATCAGCATGCCACAATAGTTTTATGTGATTTTATATGATGTTTTTGTATTTATTTGTCTTGACAGTAATGTGTAGAAAACCTCAAACTTTCTGAGTTTTGCGTAAGCCTTAATATATTAAAAAGATTTAAAAGGCAACATGTCTGGCAAAATTGTAAAACTGCATAGAAAACCCCAAGTGTTCACGTCTTCTAATAAATTTAAGTTCAACTATACACATTCCTAGAATATTTTATCTGCCTATTTTTTAGTACGTTTTATGCTATTCTTCTTTCAAAGTAGGATTATGTATTCTTTATTTAAAAAAAAGTGGGATTATATATTTCTACTTAGAATGGTGATGAGGATTCGGTTTAGGTTTGGCTGTGAAAATCCCTTTTCGGTTTAACCCTTGATCATTTGTTTACGTTTGCATTTGTTGGCGTTTGTTTATTTTTCCATATGAACTCATGACAACTTAAGCATTTTAAGGAAAATATATGTGTTAATTGTTACCATAAATGTCGCATATATGCAAATAGAAGGAGAACCTTTTGCTTGCATTTACCGTTTCATTTCTATTTTCCAAAAATATTTAATAAAATAAAACAAAAAATGTTATCGACATGAAAAACATTTGTGTGAAATGTGTCAAAAACAGTTGGTTAAGGGGGATGCCCATTCCTAGTTTCCGGTTTACTTCAATTCTGAATGCAATTACAACGTGTAGACGTAGGAATAAACGTGACGGCCTTAGGAAGAAGACTTAGCTGGAACAGAATTATTCAATGAGTCAATGGTCTTGTATTGAGGACATGGGAGAAACTTCGAACACCACTACTTTGTGTCAGTTTTAATAACTCATCAATGAGTCAATTTGTTTTTAAATGCCCATTTGAGAAGCGGCTCGTATAATATCCATAGATTGATATAAAGTGATGAATTAGCTCATCTCTATTTGTAAATGTCGAAATCTCCTTTTGGAAAGTCGTCAAGTAGAAAAATGGAGAGACGTTGTGTGTTCTTTGTGACTTTTTTCCTTATACTACATCTTGTTCAAGCTCAAGATCCAATAGGTACTTACCCATATTTATTGTTTTTATTCTATATATGTTTTATTTTGTTTTTACTTTTTGTCATTTACTCAATTAGCTGTTACTGTTAGTAAACTCAGTATAACAATCACAGATAATGAATCTTAAAAGATCACACATTTATGTGGCTTAGATAGATATTCATTTAATACATTAGATGTCCACATATGAAAAAAATGTATGATACAGTAAAAAATATTATGTATTTTGCAACACTTAAATGACATGAACAAACCCATATTAAAACTCTATTTCATAAATTATATATGAACATCTAAAAGTAACACATTGCAGTAAAAAATTACTTGTCCCAGAATGAAGGAGGTAAAAAAATTTCATCCAAAAAGGAAAAAAAAAAGAGGTAAAATTGTCGAAATTGCTCAAAATCCACTCTTGTTAACTTGGACAAAGAAATGTTTTGTCATTTTCCTAAAATACATATTGCGTATTCTGTAGTCATAGGAACCTTATAATCGCGAGGAAAAAAAAAAAAAAAAGGAACCTAATAATCGCTTATTAATGTAGTCTCGTACATACTATAGGATTCATCAATATGGATTGTGGTTTGTCCATCCAAGCCTCTCCTTATAAAGAATCCTCGACCGGTTTAACATATACATCAGACGACGGTTTCGTCCAAGGTGGGAAAATTGGTAGAATCACCAAGGAACTCGAGTCGTTATACAATAAACCGGAGTGGACGCTTAGATACTTCCCTGATGGAGTACGGAATTGTTACAGTGTGAATGTCACACGGGGTACGAAGTATTTAATTAAGCCTTCCTTTGTCTATGGAAACTATGATGGTCTTAATGTCATCCCGGATTTTGATCTTTACATCGGCCCAAATTTGTGGATGACGGTGAACAGTGCTGACACTATCAAGGAGATCCTCCACGTATCGAAATCAAACTCTTTGCAGGTGTGTCTTGTTAAGACAGGAACAAGTATACCTTTTATAAATACATTGGAACTTAGACCATTGGCCGACGATATATACACCACCGAAAGTGGCTCCCTCAACTATCTTTTTCGGGTTTATTATAGCAATTTAAAGGGCTATATAGAGTAAGAGTCCATTACTTGATCATTATAAATTTTACTCTAAACTAGACAAACATACTATGTTTAGTAATGTTTTAATGTAAGTTTGCGCCAGGTACCCCGATGATGTCTACGATCGCATATGGAACCAAATCTCACCTGATCAAGATTGGCAGATTTTAACTACGAATCTCCAAATAAACGCTTCTAATGATTATGATCTACCACAACGTGTAATCAAAACAGCTGTAACACCCATTAAAGCTAGCACAACGACGATGGAATTTACCTGGAAGTTAAAGCCTCCAACTTCACAGTTTTACTTATTCCTTCACTTTGCAGAGCTTGAAAGCCTCCAAGCCAACGAAACAAGGGAATTCAATGTGATGTTGAACGGAAATGTTACATTTGAATCTTATAGTCCTAAGTTTCTACAAATGCAAACCGTATATAGCCGAGCACCAAAGAAATGCGATGGAGGGGAATGCTTGTTGCGGTTAGTGAAAACGTCAAAGTCAACTTTACCTCCTCTAATTAATGCTATTGAGGCTTTCACTGTGCTTGATTTCTCACAGTTGGAAACAAATGGAGATGAAGGTATGTTTTTTTTTTTTTATATATACTTATTTTCTTTTTCGGGTTTTAATGTTAAGCTTTATATATACCGAACTTGCATAGAAACTAGACTATCCATATATAGTAGCTCAAGAGAGAAAGATAGAAACATGGAACTTTTGAAGATAGTTACAAAATTTGCATATTGATATCAACTAACTTTATAAATAATTACTAGTGGTGGCTATCAAAAATATTCAATCTACCTATGGATTGAGTAAAATCAACTGGCAAGGAGATCCATGTGTCCCCAAACTGTTCTTGTGGGATGGTTTAAACTGCAACAACTCAGATGCTTCTATACCACCGATTATCACTTCCTTGTAAGGACATGATTTCATTGTTTTCCTAATTTACTTTCGGATACTTACTATACTCATTAGTTTTTCATCACTAGAAACTTGTCTTCGAGTGGATTGACTGGAAATATCGCGCTGACCATTCAAAATCTCACCAATCTGCAAGAACTGTTAGTATCACATAACTGTGTCGATAACTATTGTTAGTTTTTTCTTTTTTCTTTAATTGGTAGAAAATTACTAAAATCAATGGTAGTTTTATCTTAATCATAGGGACTTGTCAAATAACAACTTGATTGGAGGTGTTCCTGAATTTCTAGCCGATATGAAATCGCTCTTGGTCATGTAAGTTTCCCATGAGAATGATGTCTTTTAGCCTTGGATCCTTATGCTTGATTTTTGTGTCTATCTTAACAGAAACTTAAGTGGGAACAATCTTAGTGGCTTAGTTCCTCAAAAGCTTCTAGAGAAGAAAATGTTGAAATTGAAGTAAGAATTTGTATATTGTATTTATTCGATATTGACATGTTTTCTATGATAAACTAATTTTTTTTGAAAAACACTTGCAATCCAAAGCATCGAAGGCAATCCGAAGCTTAATTGCACAGTCGAGTCATGTGTAAAAGATGGAGAGGGTGGGCGACAGAAAAAGAGCATGACAATCCCAATTGTGGCATCAATTGCTTTTGTGGTTGCCCTTATAGTTGCATTGATTATATTTTGTGTTATTCGAAAGAATAACCCATCAAACGATGAAGGTATTCACATTATATTCATCGATCAAGATACTCATGAATACACACACATTAAACTTACATAATTTCATTGAATGTTTTCATCACAAATTTAGCTCCAACATCATGTATGCTACCCTCGGGTGGTAGATCATCTGAACCGACAATAGAGACGAAGAATAAAAATTTTACGTATGCGGAGGTCATAACCATGACAAACAATTTCCAAAGAATCCTTGGAAAAGGAGGATTTGGAATTGTATATTATGGTTCAGTAAACGGTACAGAGCAGGTTGCTGTTAAAATGCTTTCGCATTCATCAGCTCAAGGATATAAGCAATTTAAAGCTGAGGTATTATTATATACCACAACTCATAATGGAATTCTGTATGAAACATTCCAGAATTTTTTTCAAAGCTAATTTGGTGTATCATTATGGTATGTTAGGTTGAACTTCTTCTTAGGGTACATCACAAGAATTTGGTAGGTCTTGTTGGGTATTGCGAAGAAGGAGATAAATTGGCTCTCATCTACGAATACATGGCCAATGGAGACTTAGATGAGCATATGTCAGGTAAACATAATATTTGTTTTTCACTAGAAAGACAACATATTTGGTTTTTGATAACAATACATGATGATGAAATTGTAACATACCAAATGGTGAACTCTTTAAGAAAAAAAAAAACTCAAAATAATAATAAAAAAATTTCATTTACAATTCACTCATAATCTTTGTTATATATTACACAACGACGACACTAGTAAAAATTCATTGCTAGGCATAAATAAATTATACAAGCCAATTATAAAGTTCTTCAATGTGTTAAATTTGTTATAATAAATGACCAGTGTGTGTTCAATTCTTATATCTTTACATTTAACACACATTGAAGAACTTTATATTTGGCTTGTATAATTAACCTTCATTTTCCTATGCATGTAGTGACAGAAAAACAATTCACGTCTTTATATATTTGTTTTTGAT